AGACTATTTCTAAGTCTTTAAGACTTAATAACTTATTATTAATTAAATTTAAAGTAATTAAATTAATATAATACTTCTTTTTTATATATTTAATTAAGAAAATTAAATTATAATTTAAAATCGCTATTTTAATAATATTAAAATTACTTCTTAATAAAAGGTTTTTTATAATAATAATTATTATATATATTATATAAAGTTCTTTTTTATTAGCTACCTTTAAGGCAGGTATAATAATTAAATTAAAGTTATAATTAATTATATAATATAATAGTTATAATAAGCATTTTAAGATAAGAGGTCTAAGCTTTATTAATAGGGTTAAAGGGATATCTATAGTAATAGATATAAAGGGATAGATTCTCTTAAAGACTTTAGTTTTATATACTTTTTTATATATATAATTTTACTCTTTTTCCTTTATATTTAATAGTATTAAACTAATTATTTAGTTCTCTATTTTATAATCAAGACCTTATCTTAATTAAACCTAACTAGCAGTTTATATTAAGTTTATAATTAAGAAGTATTAGAAGATATTATTTTATATAGTCTTTTTATTATTATTGCTTTTTACCGTTAAAATAATAAGTATAATTTTATAATTATAAGCTATTTTATATAATAAGTATTAAGGAAATATATTTATTATATTATTTATATAAAGGGTTAAAAGGTATTTAAGTTAGATAATATACTTTAGAATTATAATAAATAAATTAGATATAGTATTTCTTTAAGTAAGTTAAAGAAAAAAGATTAATTTAGCTATTAAGAGCTAGTATTTATATTACTTAATAAAGTTAATAATTATATTATTAAGGCAGGTAAACCTTATTTAATTTTAACTTTTATAATAATAACTTATTATAAAGGTCTTATTATTTAAATTATTAATAGAAATGCTAAAAAAGCTTAATAGCCTTATATAAGGCTAAAGGTAAGAGAAAAATATAATATTAATTTAATTTTATAATTAGCTATTATAAAGAATTAAATAATTTAAAAGTAAATATTATTAGTAACTAATTAAATTTTAATATTAATATACTTAAGATAAAAATATAATACTTAAATATAATAAAATAGGTTTTAAATAGGTAAACTAATTTATATTAGGTTTTATATTTACAGAGTTATAAGGCATTATACTAAGTAATAGCAAAGTATTACATCTCTTAATAATTAATAATATAGTTTAGGCTTATTAAGATAAAGAAGTCTTATTAATAGCTAGTAAGCTAAGTTCTATAAAAGTACTAATAAATATAATTTATATACTAAAGTATCCTTAAGTAATTAGTAAGGTTATTAAGGGATTAGTAGTAATCTAAGTAAATTAGTACTAATTATAGTAAATTAGCTCTAATTATAGAGTCTTGGCGCTAATTGTCTTTAGTAGGAGATGTGGTAATTAGTAGAAAATATAGGGTATATGTAATAGAACTGCTAGGGTTGTAATATTAAAAAAGAATTAAAAAGGAAAATATTAATTTATATAATTAATATAAATATTAAGATAAATATAATAGGCTTTAATAATATAAATTATAAAAAATAAAGTATATAACTTCCTTTATAAAATTTATTTATATTTATTATATAAATATTAAGAAATTATAAAGCCTTTTAAAAAACTATTATTATTTTTTTAAGTTTATAAGTTAGTCTTAAAAGGTATATTTAAGTATCTCTAAAGTCTAATATAATTTAAATATTTATTACCCTTATAGCTAGTAAAGCTTTATTAAGTTAAAATATTATAATTAGCTGCCTTAATTATAGCCTAAACCTAGCTATATATATAGTAGCTAAAAAGCCCTGCTTATTAGCTAGCTATAATCTTTTTCCTATAACTTATCTAAAAGGCATACTTTAATTATTTATTATATAATAAGTTATCTAACTTAAATACCTTCTAACTATAATTACTAATAGCATTATAGCTATATTATTATAATACCTATTATCTAAAGAAGCTTATAATTACCTAATAAGGCCTTTTATATTAAAATGCCTAATTTAATCTTTTATTTTATAGTAACTCTTAAATATTATAAATATAAAAATAAGCTTTATATTATAATAATAAAGATTAAAAAGATTTAAAATAAAGAAAATAATATTACCTTTATTAAATAAGTTATTATAAGCTTTAAGGTCTTTTTACTTATATATTATTAATATAAAAAGCTAATAACTTTTAAAAGCTATATTAAAGAGGAAATTAAATTATTATAAGAGGTAAAATAATTCCTTATAATAAAAAGGCTTATAAAGGTAAGTAATAAGGAATTTATTAAAGATTTTAAATTAGAGATTTTAATTAAAAACCTATATAAATAGGAATTTAATAATATAAAGAAATAATTAGTAAAGTTAATAAAGGCTATAAAGCTAATTAATAGCTAGTAAAGATTAAGCTAGTTATAATTTTAAATTATAAAAATATAATTAAAATAAAGGGGATAGTATATTGTAATATAAATAGAAATAGTATAATTATAAGGTTGTATAAAAGAAATATATTAACTTTTATACAAGTTTAATTACTTAAAGTTAAAGACTTAAAGTTATAATTAAATTTAGTATTTATAGTAAAAAACAAATTAAATAAGTTATAAAATAAATTATAAGATTAAATAAGTAAAGTAGCTATAATATTAATATACTATTAATATAAATAGGGGGAAAAGCTATTATAATAAGAATATAAGATTTAAAGAAAAGAAATAAGAAAAATAATTAAATAATATAACTTATATATAAAGATAAAAGCATAATAATATAAGCCTTATAAAGAATTATAATTACTAAAAGTACTAAAATAATTATAAAACTTAATTATAATAAACTTTATAATTAAACTACTTTTATTAAATAAACCCTTAATTAGAATCTTTTATAATAGTATTATAGTTATTATTAATTAACCTATAAAATTCTTATACTACTTATTTTATAGAAAAGTAATAAATATAAATAGTATTATCTCTAAAGACTATACTATTAGTCTACTATTTTATAAGATTAATAATTAATTAAAAATTATAACTTTAAGATTAAATATTAAAAAAGAAAAATTATAAAAATATAATTAAAAAAAGAAGAATATTTATTAAAAAAGAAAAAGAAAGTTATATATAATAAAAATACTAAGTTTATAAAAGTTTTAAAAATTTAAAAGGCCTATAAATAAATATAAAAAGTATTATAATTATAATAGGTATAAAACATATTATAAGTATAAAAGATATTAAAATATATTAAGAAATAAAACTTAAAACTCTTTATATTTAGTTTTATTTAAATATTTATTAATAGAAATTTTATTTAATATAAAACATATTATAATATTTAATTAATTAAGTTACTAATAATATCTTATTTTTAGTATTTTAGTAAGGGTAGGCGGTTTCTAAGGGTAGCCAGTTTCCCTATATCTAACATTAAGTCCTTTAACTTTATATTGCTTTCTTTAATAGCAATAAGTTCAATATTAGTAATAACTACGAAAATAAGTACAACGACTTTGTCATTATTATAGAGCCTGTCTTCCAAACCGATTAGAAATAAGATTAAGAACGATAGAAAAGATGAAGATAAAAGAGTTTCCAGAAACGTTATTAAAGGTTTTTGTAGTTGGTGATGCTGCAGTTTAGCTCTTGTTGGAGCTGCTGCGTGGGTTTTTATGAGGACAAGTAAGACAGGAGGCGTATACCAACCGGCATAGCAAGGCCAAGGGCTCACAATACCGCAGTTCTGCAACAGCCGGCGATGAGACAGCAATATGGCGCTAATCAGCCGATGTAGTGGATAGAACTCCGAGATCTTTAGAGCGTGACGGCAAGGTGCACGAGCGCTGAGCGGCTGATCTAAGTATTGGTGTTGTATGACTACTTCGAAGCTTCCCATGTGATTGTTAGCAATGTGAAACACTAATGCAACTGTAGATATAAAATAGTGCAGTGTAGTAGATACTGAACTTGGTAAAAAGGATAATGTAAATATAATATTTAATAGTTATTATAAAAGTTCTTAACTTGAAATTTCTATCTTCTTTTCAAAGAATATATTATACTCTTATTATCTATATTACCTGTTTATAATATAGTCTTAAGGCTTATGGCCCCTCTTATCAATTAAGATGCAACGTTACCCTCTATCGACAAGTACCCGCATCCAGTCAGAGGTAGGATCTTCATCATCAAATCATGCGCTGATCACAGCCAGTCATTTCCAAATTTCATGCCGCATAAACAAAGGATCAATTAGGCGGCCCTTGGGCATCGAAACCAGGCGACATGAAACAAATGCTAAACGGCAAGGCGCTGGCGATCACTTTCCGCGACTCATCTTCCCTATTAATGGGAAAGTGCCTGCGGCCAATGGCCACGTGCTGGGGGACATCAGTGAGGATCCGTCCCAGGATCACAAGACCCAGATGCATACCCAGGGGCATTAACACCCCCGTTATTTCCGGTTTCCATTAGAACTCATGATACGAGGTGGTAGATAAGTGTGAGTCGGAGTGCAAAAGAAGTATCCTTATGGCCATAGCCCCTGCCAATTATACGCCATGCTTAGCCAAGAGGTTTCGCTTTAAGTGGAAGCACCTGAGGGATCGAAATTAAGTGCACTGGTTACGGAGCAATTGAGGGCAAGTAATAATCCCCTGACCAGAGTTTTTCCTGCATGAACTTCTGCTCCAACGTCGGGTGACAACCCCTGATTGGCTCATGTGGAATGAATAGCAGGTGGTTTTGCTTTTGATATAGGATTAGTATCAGGGGACGAAGACATAGAAGCATAAGTTGCGTTCTCAGTCCAACCAACAAGAGGACTCAATACAAATATGCAATGTCCGCCTCAGTCCTCTGCGATGGTTTAGATCACTTGTGCTCTATCGCAGTAGCGGATCATCCTTATTGAGATTCGCCATCTTCTTGATCAGACCAGACAAAAGAGACAGTTTGTCCTTTCCAATCTTTGAAGCCAATATGAAGCTCTCTAGTGGGGTACATGCTTGTCTCCTTGGCTTTCTTACCCAGTATGCTGCGCTGTCGTGGGCGCTATCCGGAGAGGCGAAAGCGATGGTGGAAGACTCAATGGAGTGGATGGACAGATTCTACGACCCAAAAATTGCACAGCTATATGACCTCGATTCTAAGGCGGCAATGAACCATGAGACATTAGCCTCTACATGGTATGCGGTCGGACTTCTTGCACGGAACGGCGATGGTGATGTCTCGAGGGCTGAGGATGTCATAAAATACGTTATCAAGGACCAGCATAACAACCCCAAAGACTTGTGGTATGGCGACTATACGCGAGAGCCGGGGGAGCCAACTGTTGGAACACCATGGTACCCTGCCCGCATGTATGGATCGTGGGACCCGAACTGGCGAGGATTCGTCGGTCTCAGCTTCATCACTATATACGAAGAGTTCGGAGACCTGTTGTCTGACGATTTGAAGGGGCTTATGCTTGAAAGTCTACATAACTGCAGCATTGGCGACTCATACCGCGAGGGTGGTGTCAACGGAGATAACCTCTATCCATCTTACAGCAACCCTGCAATCATGCGTGCAATTGGGACAAGCTGGACCGGTCGCCAAACAGGCGATGACAATATGACACAGGCTGGAGAGGATTATGCGAAGAAGATCATCGACCTCTTTGACATGCATGACACGCTTTCTGAGTTCAACTCGGCGACTTACACCGGCATTTCGCTCTTTGGCCTTACACTATGGTGTAAGTATGGTCACGAAGATAGTATTCTCTCCCAAAGAGGTCCGGATCTTCTGCGCGGTGTTTGGAATTACACATCGCAACTCTGGAATCCAGCGATGCGAAACCTCGCTGGCCCATGGGACCGTTCCTACATGTTCGACATGACCAAGTCTCTCGGCATCCTATCTCACTTTCTCGCACCCATTATCGGTAGAAAGGAGGCAGGTGTATGGCAGTACCCGGAAGTAATGAGCCATGCCCGTGACTGGGCTTGGGCACCACTCATTGCCGTCCACTCGAAATTCCACAACTCATTGCTTTCTGATGATCTTAAAGAGTCACTGAAGAAATTTGATGGAGAGAGAACATACACAGGGAAGGCCTACTATCCGCCATACGACCTTAATACTCGCAATATTACGACGTGGCTTAGCGAGTCCCTGATGATCGGAGCTCAGTCGTATCGGACCAAGAGCGCAAACGGACCGTCGAATAACAAGGCTCAGTTCCATCCCGCTGTTGCACATTGGTCTTATGGAGATGATAACATCGGATGGCTTAGCGTAAGTTAATACGACTCCAGACTTTACTCCTGCAGCTTTACTGACACAAACCCAGCTCCGTCCTACCGAAGCCCACGTCCTGATGGAGGTCTCGCCGAAGAGGCTGAAGGTGACTTACCCTGAGGGGAGTAGCAGTTCTGTATTCACTTTTGCAGCATCTCCCTCACTTGCGAAGAGGGATGTCCAGTCATGGGCTGACATTCAAGGCATTTCGATCTCTGTCTCTGGAAATGCAAATCCCGAGCCGGAGGTCACATTCGCTGGCCGGTATGGGGGTTCGGGAAGTCCGATTTACGATTTTAATTATTGGACTATGGTGCATACTATGCCTCCTGGATTTAAGGGCGTTCCTGAGATTATCATTGAGTTTGAATAAGAAGTCCCATGGAGGGATGAGGAGCGACCTGTTATTTGCACTTTTTGTGGGCATAAATATCCGTATAATACCTCTGTTATTATGCCCTTCTCTCGGCGATCCGCCCCATATCGATCTTTTAACTAACTGTCTGCCACATCCCCCCCCCCCCCCACCCCCCCCAAACAGCTTATCTAGCAGCCTCTATGCCTCTATAACCTCATTACGCAGTATGCAGGTAAAGTCCTTAATGCTAATATACTTACCTATATAAAATAATACCTTTCTGTTATTAGACTATTATATTAATAGCTATCCTCTTATCTTATATTAAAAACCTTTCTTATATATTATGTATTTAATAATTATACTTATAATAGTATAAGTGCCTATATATATTTATATAATATATTACTTTAAAAATATAAATATAGCCTTAATTTTAACCTTACATTAATTTAGTAGCTAATCTATAAATATAGCCTTTAAAAAGAATAGCTAGGCTTATTATAATATAATAACTAATATATTAATATATAAATATAGCTTAATATAGCTTATTAAGTATTAATTAATATTAAGTATTATATATAACTATATTAATAAGTTTATATATATATTCCTATTAATATATATTAAAATTAAAGCTATATTAAAATTAAATATAAGTTAATTTAATATATTATATTATAAGCTAGTAATATATTTATTTCCGTTTTTATTATTATTATTATTATTATTATTATTATTATTACTTAAAACCCTATATCTTTTAAGCTCTTTTATAATATTTTATAATAAGTTTTATTACTTATTTATAAAGTAAATAGTATAGTATTAAAGCACTTCTTTATACCTAATCTTATATACCTTTTAATAAAAGCTTAAATAATAATAATTAATAAACCTATATTTACTTATTAATACCTCCTTACTTTTATAATTAAATAATATATTATATAGGCTTATTAATATAGTATTAATAAGTATTATAGTATTTTTATTAATATATTATTAAATTATTAGTAATAGTATTTTACCTTATAATTAAAGCTTAGCTTAAGCTAGATTAATAATAGTTATTTATTAGTTACTTTCTTATTACCTTACTTTTAGTCCTATCTGCCTATTAGTACCCTTACTTATACTTATATAATAATATTATAAATACTAATTAAGTCCTAAGACTTAAAATACTATACTTAGCTAAGTCTTTTTACTTATAGTAAATTATAGTTAATATCTTCTTTTAAGTTACTTTTTTAAGCTTTAGGTTAGTTAGTTTTAATAAGATAAGATAGTTTTTAATATCCTTAAGTACTTAGCTATTTAGCTAATATTTATATTAAAAATGCAATTTAATACTAAAAATAGCTATATAGCTACTTTATATAGCTAGTAAAACAGTATTTAATAGTTATTATTAAGCTTTATAATGTCTTTTATTACTATTAGATATTACCTCTTTTTTCTTTATATTAAATAGTAAATAAATAAGTAGTTTTTTTATTTTTTTATTTTTTTATTTTATTTATTTATTAAAATCTTCTTTTCTTTATATTACTTTAACCCTAAGTTAATATTAAATAACCCTAAGTATATATTAAGGTTATTTTAAGGTATTTAGCTATTTAGCTTTACTTTAAATAATTTAACTTTAAAACATAAGTAAGATAATATAGTTTATTAGTTAGTTTAAGTTAAATTGCCTATAAATAATTATTAATGTTAGGGTTATATAAGAGTTATAACTTAATTTTTAAGTTAGGTTTTTATATTATATTATAACTTAGTTATTTTAAAGTAAATTAGAATTATTATAAGCTAAATACTTATAAAAAGCCTTTAATATTATAATTAATACTTTATTATTATTAGCTTAATTATAAAGCCTTTATATTATAGTATTTAACTATTAAATATAAATAATATTAATATAGTTATTATATATTTTAGCTAAGAGTATATATTTATAATATATAAAAGCTATAATAAATAAAATTAAAATTAAGCTATAAATACTTATTATAAGGAAACTATTATATATATTTTTTAAGTTTATAAGTTAGCCTTAAAAGGTATATCTAAGTATTTCTAAAGTTTAATATAATTTAAATATTTATTACCCTTATAACTAATAAAGCTTTATTAAGTTAAATTATTATAGTTAGGTGCCTTAATTATAGCCTAAACCTAGCTATATATATGCTATCTAAAAAGCCTTACCTACTTATTAGCTAGCCCTGACTTTCTTCCTATAATCTACCTAAAAGGTCTTTTATTAACCTCTACTACATACTATACTTTAATTATCTATTATGCAATAAGGTATCTAACCCGACTTTCCCTATACCTTCTAACTATAACTGCTAATAGTATTATAGCTATATTATTATAATATTTACTATTTAAAAAAGCCTATAGCTACCTAATAAGGCCTTTTATACTAAAATGCCTAACTTAATCCCTTATTTTATAATAGCTCTTAAAGATTATAAATATAAAGATAAGCTTTATATTATATTAATAGAGATTAAAAAGGCTTAAAATAAGGAAGATAATATTACCTTTATTAAGTAAGTTATTTTAAGCTATAAAGTCTTCTTACTTATATATTATTATTATAAAAAGCTAATAACCTTTAAAGGGTACTTTAAGAAGGAGATTAAGTTATTATAAAAGTTAAAGTAATCCTTTATAATAAGAAGGCTTATAAAGGTAAGTAATAAGGGATTTATTAAAGACTATAAATTAAAGACTATTAAGAACTTATATAAATAGTAGCTTAATAATATAAAGAAATAGTTAGTAAAGTTAATAAAGGCTATAAAGCTAATTAATAGTTAGTAAAGATAAGGGGGATAGTGTATTATAATATCTAAGATAGAAGTAGGGTAGTTGCGGGGTTTTATAGGAAAATAAAAAAATATATTAAGTTTTATATAAGTTTAGGTTACCTAAAGTTAAAGACTTAAAGTTATAAATTTAGCATTAGTAGTAAAAAGAGGATTAAATAAGTTATAATATTAATATATTATTAATATAAATAAAAAAAGTAAAATATTATATTCTTATAATAATACTAAGTTATAAGAGATTAAGTTAAGCAATATAAGATTTAATAAATAAATAAAATAAATCCCTTATATATATATATTTTCTTTCTATATTATAATAGCTATTATTATTTTAATATAATTTTCTTAGCTATTAATAAGGTAACTCCTTTTAGTTTTATTTTAATTTAGTTATTATATATATTATATAACTTATATAGCTAATATAAGGCTAGTATATTATTAGTAAATAAAGGCTATTAATATAATTTTATTACTAAGCTATATATATAACTATAAGTTATATTACTTATTTACTTAATATCTTAATCTTAATTATAATAAGTAATTTTTAATTTTATTATTAATATATTATTAAATTTATTTAATACTTGGTATATATTTATAACTTTATTCAACTAGGCTTTATAAAAAGATCTTATTATAAACTAGCTAATTAATTACCTTATAACATAAATAAGAAAATGCTTTCTTAAATTAATACTTATATAAGTATTTTAATTATATTTTATATTAGGCCTTATCTTATTTAATAAGGGCTTACTTATTATATCCCTATAAATTTTATTATATAAAGAGGTATTAATATATATAATAAGTATATAAGACAAATAAGTATATAAGATAAAAATCCCTTGCCTTATATCTTAACTATTTTATTAATTAGTTTTTAATTAAATAATATATTATAGTTTATTACTAAGGCTTATATTATTTTTATACTTTAGGCCTATTAAGTAAACCTAAAATTAAGTAATAACTAAAGCTTAAGATATATTTTAAAAGGAAATATAACTATTAAAAAGCTAAATATAAAGATTTAATTACTATTTATAATTAATTTAGGCTTATATAAAATATAATTATAAAATATAGTATTTAATTAAATAATATCTAGAACTTTACTAAAACTAACTTTATAATAAATATAGTATTAAATAATATAATAATTACTAGCTTAAAAGGGCATAAAATCCTAAAATTAATTTAACTTAAAAACTAAAAACAAGTTATAATACCTTAAGTAATTAATATAAAAACCTAAGTAATTAATTTATTTATTATAATTATAAGCTAATATTATCTTATTAATTAATATTTAGTATCTTTTAATTCTTAATAGTTATAAACGTTATTATTTAATTAATTTCTTAATATATTATAAAGAAATACTATTATTATATTTTATATATTACTTTATTTTTCTTACTTACTTTAGCCTCTTAATATTAAGTACTTTAAGCTATTAAAAATATATATATAATTAAGAAATAAGGTAATTAATTAAAAAGTCTATAACCTATATTTTTAAAATTAAATTCTTCTTACCTTTTTATACTATATTTTAACTAATTATAATTAAATTAAATATTAAGAGAGGTTTTAAAGGAGCTAGTTTTAATTCTTTTAACCTAAAAGTTATAATATTAAAGCTTAATATATTATTATAGATTTTAATACTTATTAAAGAGGTAGCTTAATAAGCTTAATTTTAGACTTTAAGAACTTTATAAATAGTTCTTAAAGTTAAATTATAATTTAAATACTTTTAAAAATAATTTAAAAGATATTATAATAGCTCTTTAAAGTTAATTCTTAAAGCTTTTTAATTTCTTATTAAAATAATAAAGAAAAATATGTATAAAACTACCTTATTAAAGGCTAAGAATTAAGAGTTTTAATAAGTAAATAATATACTTAGCTATAATTATATGCCAAAAGTCTAACAATACCAACGCGTCTACTCTGCTTTAGTTAGTATTACTAAATAACCTTAATTACTTTAATAATAAGACTTATATACTTAATGGCTTTTAAATACCGCGATTTTAGTACTAAAATAAGCAGAAATTGCTAAAGAAGCTATAAATTTACTCTTAAGTAAAGAGTAGCTATAGTTATAGAGGTATATACTAGTAAATTAATAAAATAGGTTATAACCTCTTACTTAATAAATCTTAAGACTATCTCCTAGATAGTTAAATACTAGAAAGAGAACTATAATAATATCTTAAAACTATATTTTAGGTATTCCTAAAAACTTAGTATTTAGGAGATTATATTTATTTAGTTATATATTAAAAGAAATTGCTTAATTATATAAAATAAGGCATTATTAAAGCTTAGTATTAAAGTATTAACCTAAATAGTATATTAATAATTATAAAGGTATTAGTAATATAAATAAAGGTTAAAAAAGAGAATTAAACTATTAAAAGATAATATAAAAGTAAGGCTATAATATACCTATTTTTAGATTTATTATATTAATAAATATATCCTTATAATTAGACTTAAAATAATATGCTTTTTAATGCTAACTTTCTTATAAATTTACTTTATTAATAAGGTTATAGTTTTAAATGCCCTAAATAACCCTAATAGCTAGGTTTTTTACTAACCTAATAAGAAGTATTATATAGACCTAGTTAATATCTAGCAGTATATTAAACCAACTATCTCTCTTATATTTTAGGGAGGAATTACTTAATATAAACAGTTATATCTTATACCGATAATAAGGGATAAGATAGGCAAAAAAGGAAGTTATTCTAGCTAGTCTTATCGCAAAGCCCTTACAGAAGGTCTCCTCCCTTTCCTTAATAAATTTAACCTATTTTAATAAGATAACGCCTGGATTTATATAGCTTAACTATCGATAGATTAGCTGCTTCTTTATAAGATAAAACCTATTAATTAGCTATTATATTCCTCTAATTTAAACCTTATAGAATATATATAAAAAGCTCTAAAAGCTAAGCTTTAATAGATATATCTTAAATTTATTAAATTAAAGAATAATAAGTCTAATAAAGCTTAGTTAATTAGATAGTTATAAGAGGTATAGGCAGCCTTACTAAGCTATTTAATTTTAAAGCTAATAACTTCTATAAAAAGCCGCCTTTATGCTATTATTTATATATAAAAATAGTATATAAAATATTAAAGTGCTAATTTAGGGGAATTAATTAATATACTTTTTATTAAATTTAATTAACTATTTGTAATGATATTACTAAGTATTTAATTGGTGTTGTAATTAGGGAGGTTAGATGTGGGGTTGGTGTTGTTAGACTTTTACTATATTATTTTAGTATTTTAGTAATATAAGGTAAAAAAGGATATACTTATAAAGTAAAAGGAATATAATTAAATAAAAAGGTTAGGATTTAATTAATTAAATAAATATAGATATATAAGTAATAGCTAAATTATTAAAAAGTAATAATTAAGGAAGTTTAATATAACTACAGGCTTAATATTATAAGTCTTATAATAAAACTAAGTATAATATAAGAACCTATTAGAAAGGTATTAAGGTCTTTATAGATAAGTAAAATAATTAATTATATTTAATTAGATAATTTATTATATTTTTATTATTATTTATTTTAAGAAGGTTAAGATTCTTATCTTATATATATATCTGTATTATATACTTATTATATATATTATAATATTTTCTTAAAAACCTTAACTAATTTACTAATCTTACCTTACCTTTATTTTAATTATAACCCTTTTTAGCTTTAATCTTATTACTTTGTTTTAGGTTTTATATACTTATTATAGTAATAAAATATAACAACCTTAATATTAAGTTTTAGCAGATTATATAATAACTGCTTTAAACCTTAAGATTTAATTAAATAAGTACTCTTAATTTATAAGTATAAAGAAGATATTTCTTTTATTTTAAATATGTTAAATACCCTCTTTATTATTATTCTTTTAAGGTAATTACTATTAAGGTATTAATATTAAGAAACTATAATAAAATAAATTATAAATTTTAACTTCTATTATAAGATATATTATTATATAATTATTATTAGTAATAGTTAGCTTAGTTATAATTATCTAGTTATAATAATTAATAACTATATAATTAAACTTTTAATAAATATTAATACAATTAATATTAAAGATATTTTAAATTTATATCCTTTTTTTTATTATAATAAAATTATAAGTAAATACTTAATATATATTAATATATTATAAGTAATATAATAAGTAAAGCTTATAATATTTAATTATTTAGTATTACTTTAAAATATTAAATAAGATAAATCCCTTTATAATTAGTTAAAGTAAGGTTAATATATATTAAAGTAATAATACGCCTTTATTAATAATATTATATTTACTAGTAATGCTAATATATATTAAGAGTAGTATATAAAGTTAAAATATATAATTTATATAATTAGATTAAAAGTATAAATACTTTAATATAAGACTTAAAGGCTATTAAAAGATAAAAAAAAGGAATTAAAGGAGAAAAAGAAAAATTAAAGAAAAAAGAAAGGGTTTTAGTATTTAAGGAAAGGTTTTAAATATTTATAGATTAAGGCTAACTTAATAAGTTTATTATAAATTAAATTAAAATATAAGATAATATAATAAAATAAATATAAATTAAATATAAATATAGTTAAATAATACTTAGGGTCTAAGATATATATTTTATTTATATTAAATAATAATAGTATTAGTTTCTTTATATAAGGGTAGTTATTATTAAGACGTATTTAATATATTACTAGAAATATAAAGCTTTTTATAATTAATTAGCTAAGATTTAAGACTATATACTTTATTAATATATAAAGCTTACTTAATAATAATTTTAAAGGGCATATTAAGCTAATAATTAAATTATATCTTATTAGTTAATAACCTTAAATAAGGTATTTTCTTTAAAGAGGGGATCTAAAGGTCTTATTACCCTTATAGCTATGCCACATATAGCAGCAGGAAATTCCACATTTTTCAACTTATTACTTATTAATAATAATTAGTTAACAACACCAACAACACTCGCAGTTACATTATATGCACCCTACAATTTTCAATCAATCCCAGTAAGGCACGATCAGCCATCCAGGAAGCGACCGTGACCTTGCTCAGAGCACTATGTAATCACCCTCAAGACACCGTGGCCACCATTAAGTATATAGACTACATTTCTTAGCACTTCCATAGACTCCAGCTATAATAAAACTTCTCGATGACAATAATGCTTAACACGAAAGACAAATTTGGATGAGGCCTTCGTTTGAATGTCATTGTTATGATAGCAATAGTCTTGGTTCTATTCCAGATGCGACCAACCACAGCATCAGGTTGCAGAACAGGGCGGCCGACAGTATTCACTTAAGCCGAGCAACCCGAGTTCATTGGCTTCATGATGCAAATATAGATGCACCCTCAACACTCACGGACCCCTGCGAACTCAAAGCTGGATGTGGTTAGCTCAGCGCTTCTTAGCCTTTCTTTGTTGAGACTGTATGACGGAGGTGGTCCAATCTGCTGGTGGCTGGGATGTGGATACTATGTAAGGTGCTGTGCTCCCTTCAGACACATGTACCTTACGCCTTTAAACAATACATCATCTTCCACCCCCGTAATATTGCTTCATCATTCTGGCCCTGTAGCTGCACCGTCACGTAGCTCAACATGTGCGTGCTATGCCCTCTTTATGTCCAATGTCGTTACGATGACGTGTATATCGGCCACCATCGCCATTTTCCATTGGGTGATCATAGCCTATCGAGTTCATTTGGTCTTTCTCATGATTCTGTTCTCAATTAGTACGGCATCTATGCACACCAAAACTACAGTTTTTAGCGGCCCCAAGTCTCCTCTTGTGAGCCCATACCACTGATTAGTGAGATCCACGACGCAACGGTGACGCAACCCCTATCACGGCTGTAGCTGCTCTGATTCCAGCTTAATAGTGACATATGCTTTTCTCTTTAAGTACAGTCCACGAAGCTGGTGGGCTTCCGGCCCTCATTCCTACTCTTGAGACCAACGCCAAGGATATCACCAGGAACTCATCACGACCACTTCCACTCTATCAACAGAAACAGCAGCGCAGCACCCTCATACGTCGACAACATGGGTCATCTTTCCGTCGTCCACAGCGACCGCTCCCATGGCTCCATGTCATCTCAGGTGCAACTCTCTAACAACGAGGATGCCTTCACAACCGCCAGCTACGGCTCGCGATTCGCCCTCATGGAGTTGCCACGCCATCAGATGCCGGAGAGTGAGATGCCACGTGACATTGCCTATCGCTTGATCAAGGATCACCTTAGCCTCGATAATAACCCCACCCTCAAGTATGTTTCGGGAGTCATAATCTTGATTATAGGGACACTAATTATTCAAAGCTTGGCCTCCTTTGTCACCACCTACATGGTAACTTGTCCCAACTACTTATCCCCAGTGACCGCTATCTGCCTTTAGCGATCAAGTCACTGCATCAACCTCTGAATTTGAAGTCTTAGCTTTGGGAAGTCGCAATACCCTATACCCTGATCGCATGTCCATCAGCCTATAGTGACCATCAGTCAAATCTCTCGCTAGCAAACACATTGACTAACATGCGGATGATTCCGTCCAAAAATACAGGAAGACGAAGCCCAGCAGCTGATGGCAGAGGCATTTCCTAAAAATTTTATTGACTACGAGGAATACCCCCAATCAGCCGACATTCAAAACCGCTGCGTTAGTATAATGGGCAACCTATTTCACGCGCCTGCCGGCCTCTCTGTCGGAACTTCTACTATCGGCTCGTCAGAGGCCATTATGCTCGCCGTTCTTGCTATGAAGAAGAGATGGAAAGCACAGAGACTCGCCGAGGGTAAGGCCACTGATAGTCCTAATCTTGTTATGTCCTCGGCAGTTCAGGTCGTCTGGGAGAAGGCCATGCGCTATTTTGAGATTGAGGAGAGGTTTATTTATTGCATGCCTGACCGCTATGTTCTTGATCCTGCCGAGGCTATTAACCTATGCGATGAGAATACTATCGGCATCTGCATGATACTGGGCACGACCTATACTGGCGAGTATGAAGACGTCAAAGGTCTTAATGACCTTCTTATTGAGCGGAATATTGATATACCTATCCATGTGGATGCTGCCAGCGGTGGCTTTGTCGCCCCGTTTATTGTCCCCGACCTTGAGTGGGATTTTCGATGCGAAAAGGTCGTTTCTATCAACGTCTCTGGCCACAAGGTGCCGCACCCCCGTCCTTGCCTTTGAGATTTTCCATAAATGTTGATTACATGACTAGTACGGTCTTGTCTACCCTGGTGTCGGCTGGGTCATCTGGCGAGCCCCAGAATACCTTCCCCAGGAGCTCGTTTTTAACATTAATTACCTCGGGGCTAACCAATCGTCTTTCACTCTTAATTTTTCAAAAAGCGCTTCCCAGGTTATTGGCCAGTATTATCAACTGATCCGCCTTGGTAAAAATGGTTACCGTAGCATCATGACTAACCTGACTCGCAACGCGGACTATCTAGCTGAGGCAATCGAGAAGCAAGGCTTTTTAATTATGTCAGAGCGCAATGGAAGAGGCTTGCCACTTGTAGCCTTCAGATTCCGTACCCCGGAAGAGGGTGGCGAGGATCGCCACTACGACGAGTTCGCGCTCGCGCACCACCTTCATTGTCGAGGCTGGGTGGTCCCCGCGTATACTATGGCGCCTAAGTCTAATGTCAAAATGCTACGCATCGTCGTGAGGGAAGATTTCACCCGGTCGCGTTGCGACTCACTTATCGAGGACCTTAAGATCTGCCACGGTCTCCTCAAAGATATGGATCGGGAGGCCTCCAAGAGGTTGGAGGACTACATCAATAAGCACCTCACGTCGATGGGTAAGGGCGAGAACGCCCACCCTGTCTACGCAGTTAGTCTCCCTGTCTCAACTCTGCTCTTTCGGCCAGTGTCAGTGTGAGGTACCGCTAACACCGAATAGAACGAGACACATTCTCTCCAGGGCAAGACGGGCAAGACCCACTCAGTCTGCTAGAGGAAAAGGGACGCCCACTCACTAATCGTCCCGGCGTAATACGGTGTCTTGGTTCAACAGAGGAGATGTTGTCGAGAGTATGTCGAAGGATTTCGTGGAAAGGAATTTGAAGGCAAATAAAATGTACGACTGGGCTGCGACGGAGGATTTGAATAGGATTGGCATTTCTGAGAATTCAGGATTATTGTGGTAGCTCCAGACTGGGATCAAATTGTAGAGACATTACTGACAAATTAGAGCAAGCTATTCAAAATCGCTATATAGTCCTCTGGCCGTTTTCTTGCTTGTTTTATTACTAAGTACTTCGTGATATTGTGACGCCGACGCAAGCCCCCGACGCAAGCCCCGTCACAACCCGTTGGAATGAACCGATCGAGCAAGCTCGGGTATAGCTGCTTGACAGTTGCCCTTGCCTTCTGACGGCACCACGAGGTTGTCACAATGTGATTACGCGCCTGGAGACCTAGAAAGAGGAAATATAACTGATTTTCTGATTTAGGTCGATTATGAATTTGTATACAATATGTGTCCTCAAAGGACGAGTCAAGATATTGCTTGTTCCAGCTGCGAATTGTGGTCCAAGTGATACCAAATTAGTAATCTGCGGCCCTAAGATAAGAAGGAATACACTCGCTGTTGCGGGTAACTCAGTGGTGAATAATAATAAAAATGGCAACTTCTTCCTTATTGCTCTTTGGGCAGGAATTTACCCTCCTTTGAATAGACTTTGATCTCTTCTATTTATAGTCCTGAAGCTGTTTTGGAAGTCTTCCTTGTTCTTTAGGACTCAGGACTTGCATCCATTTAGTTACATTATAACCAACCTCTTCAAGGGACGGCATAATATGCAAGAACCACCAGGTGATAGTTTAAGTCAAATAGAAGAGCATGTAGCCAATGAAAAACTAAAATCCTCTTGCAAAAGACTATTGCAAAAGCTGATATTTCCGCGCCCAGATAACTAGCTTACCAAATCTCTATGTAGAAGTAATCTGCATTCTAATAGGGCTTATACTTAGTAAGGAAATAAATTTACAAATATATTAGTTGCATATAGAACTTATTTAAATTATATATACCTTAAACACCATATAGTAAAAGTTTTAATTATATATGCTTTATAAGGCAGTTTTAATATTAAGCTAGTATTAATAAGCAAATAAGCCTTAGTAACCTATATATAATACTAAGTAATGCTAGGAACCCTTACTCTTAGAATTATGCCTCTTATTAACTATAGTCTATTAAACTTCTAGGTTTCCTTTTAATTATATAATATATACTAACTTATATAGTAAGTAATTAATATACTGCTTTTAAAGCCATAGGTTAATATACTACCTATAAAAGTCATATTTGCAATTAAATTATTAAATAGTATTTAAATTACTAAAGACTTTAATATAGCTTATATTATATTATATTAATACTTAATATTTAAAAAAAGAAATTAAAATATATTTTAATTTTAATAAGTTAAAACTATACCACGCTATAGCTATTTATAATTTAAATACCTAAGAAACTATATAGGTTTAGGCTAAATTAGTAAAGTAAAGAGTTTAAAGACTAGTTATAGTACTTGTAGTATTTATATAGCTTTTAATCTTTACCTATAGCCTATGGTATTGCAATCTTTAGTTAAGAATATATCTTAATTATTAGTATAGAGACTTAGATTACTAGAAAGGAAAATACTAATAAACTAAAGACAAAAAGGACTACTACCACCACTATAGTTATAGCAATCAGACAAAGCATAAGCCAAGTTCCTAACTCAGAATTAAACTTATATATTATCTTTAAATTTAAGCTGCTGTTTTAGTTTATAATATATACAGAGGAGGGGCTTTATAGATAAGAGCAGGGGCGACAATGTCTTGCCTGTGTCCTCTCAATTTATATTCAGTAAGGACTAGATTAAAGCCTAAAGGGTTTTATTCTTAAGCCGACTTTAAAGTTCAGACAGGACATTTGCATTTCCTACCATAAGTTAGGCAACAGTTTTATTGGCCTAGAGAGGTCGGGCTCCTATGCTTCCGTTTAAAATTATGCTCCAAAAGTCTCTAAATACGCTACCCTATAGCAACTCAATCCATTTAACAGAAATAACTTTACTTATATAGAATTAAATTAAATAAAATCTAATAATAATAAAAGTTATATTATATTAAAGCCCTGCTTTTTCTATTTAATATTTTATATACTATCCCCTTATATAAATATAGGTATTAAGTTAGTAAGGGAGTAAGTTAATTAGATAGTTAATTCACTTTAGTATAATTACTACCTATACTAACTTAATATATTTTATTAACTTTACTTAATTAGACTTATTTTTTTTAAGAGATTTAATTAAGGGAATATTATTTAATATTTAACTTTAATTACTTTTAAATATATTTAATTAGGTTTAAATTAAAATTATAAGCAGGCTAGTTAATTTAGAATATATAATATTCTAATAGCTAGTTTATTTTAAACTTTAATATATATATATAAGTATTATTTTCTTAAAAATAGTAAAACCTAGTTTAAATAAAAAGTAAATCTTCTTCTAAAGCTTATTAATAACTTAAAGAAGTATATTCTTTACTTTATATAATTTAATTATAGATTATAATAATAATATTAGACTAACTGCCTTTTTAAATTACTTCTTAAATTATAATAATTAATTATAACTTTTTATAAATTATTATATTAACTAATTCCTTTATAAACTTCTTATAAGGCTTATAAAATACCTAACCTTATTTATAATTAAGTTATAATTAAATTAATAATTTATTATTAAAAATAATTTAAAGGTATTATTAATTAAATAAAGATTCTTAAGTAATATCTATTTATAAACTTTAAATTAATAAACCTTTAATAATTTATTTAAATCTTCTTTTTAAGCTTAAAATTACAAAGGGTTTTAATAAGTAATTTCTTTAAATAGTAATATCCTTTATATAGCCTTTTATTTATAATTATAATAAAGTTATATAACTTAATATATTACTATTTATAAGATATAAATACTTAAAAAGTTAATAAGCTTTTTATATATAATATAATAATTATATTTTAATAAAATTAATATATATTAAATTTACTAAATTATAAGTTTTTAAAAATATCTAAATCTTAAGTTATTATATTAAGTTTATAAAGTTTTCTAATATTAAATAATGTTTATAATTATTTAAGATAAATATTATACCTTATAAATAATAGCTTAATATAACTTCCTACTCTTTATAGCTTATATAATAAAAGCCTTAATTATATTTATAAATTTATAATTTCTTTTATACTTTATATATAATATAAATAAAATTCTATTTATTTTTAATAAGAACTATTAAAGTTTTAATTATATTTATAGTTAGCAGTTAGTTTGATTTAATCTGATAGGTTATATGTTAGCGGGGCAGCGTCCAGAGACTTTTAGACACTAATTTTAGGATTACTTAATAATAGGACCCACAAAAGATCGGGTTATGGTGCGTAGTAGCCACACCGACGGGCATCTTCTATACCCCACACTCTTCTCTGCCTCAACACTTCACCCCTTTGGCTTTCTTTACTCGAACATTGGATCACCAGCCTTCAGATGGTCGCCACGAGCAGAGACCCGCTCCCCCCTCGAATATTCCTTCATTGGTAGCTGAAGAGACTTCGCTACGGCCCTCTCGTAGGATTCAGCCAGCTTGTTGTTAATTACAGTAGCTTGTCCATGTTGTCTGCTCTTGCCTGCCCCTGCGATAGTAAAAGCCGACGTCTACGCAATAGGGTTTCACCTTTACGGGACGGCATGTCCATAACACTGTGTCACTGGCCGTACTCAATTCGTCTGAGGTCCCCTCTGGGGGCGTAAGGACCTTGTTTTCGTTGTTGTGCCACTCACTGGTCGAGAACATGTCTAATTTCTACTCGGGTTGTGATTGGGACTATTTCGGCCGCCACTATTGTTCGACACGTCAGCGGCGTGCGAATTGTTTGCATCCTAAGTAATAGCCAGTTACTTGAAGGATAATTCCGCCCCTTTAACAGATAATCAAGTGCATGCCGCTGCCAGTGTTAAATATACAATCGGATGTATTGAAGTGGGGAATGAAGGAACCATAGCAATGTTATCTCTTTGAGCGGCACAAGGCAACAGAGGGGTCACGACTGGGGTCGGGGGCCAATCAAAATGATCGCGACGATCGGTACATTCCACCTACACCTAAATTGGCGTGTGATAGAGGTACCAACAGTCAGCATTGTTACAAATTGCTACATCACATACTTTGCAACCATACCTAGTCTTCCGGCACCCCTGATTTCCTGATATCGGCTCGAGATATCCTCCTTTTGCCTTCCTTTTTTTAAAGGGTCGAGGCTGCCCTTGCCGGCAGCCCTTACAGGCTAGGCAGGCTGAAATTGACCCTCTGTAGACATGATTGATATCTCTTTGTAGGTGATTTTGCCGTGCCTCTATATCTTCGATGTCTTCCTCCTTCCCTGACCGGCTTCTCTTCCTTGTGCCGCCTTCAGCAGCATAGGTGTTGAAAAGGGCGTTGCAAATGCATTCCTTCCAAGCTCGTAGCGTGCTATAGGGCTTCCAACGAGGGTGCCGGGTCTTCTTCTGTAAAATGAAGCTATTCGCAAGTGCGACTTCAAGGAGGAAATTCCAAAGCAGCGCTTGCCAAGGACCGCGCCGGAATCGGTGCTCGTACGTTGTATAGGACCTTATCTGATCACCGCGGTCAACGTGATTCATTTCATCGTTATACTGAGCGGCAACAGTAGGAATAGGGATTATCTTGAAGCTATCCCCGTTGAAAATTCGCTGCAGCTGTTGTGCCTCTGCCTTCGTGCCTCTCTTAGCCGGCAGCTTCCTCTTTTTTGGTGTGCGCTCGTGAGGGGCGCCGCTGTGCACAGTTGAAATGAAGAGCACCACGCCGCTATCCTTCCAAGCGATTTGGATGACCTAGGGTGAATAAAAAGAGACAAATTAGTAAGGGAAATACAGCTAAAAGTCGTCTATACCTTTTTATCCGGCATCGGGATCAGTATGACCTCGTTATACCTCAAAGGCGTGCCGTCAGGAGCTTTGCCGGTCTCTTTTATCCTCTTCATCTCGGTGCTAATGCCGCAGTTAGGGCGTGCCGTGCCTGTGGCACCAAAGCCAAGCTGCCGAAGGAGGCGGAAGAGCTGCGGTGACGAGAAGAGGTTATCTGTGAAGACGTGATATGTCTGAGGAAGCAGCTTTTTTACTAGGTGAACCACGACGCT